CGACGCGACGCGACGCGACGCGACGTGGTTCTGTCCCGTCCGATGGCGTTTCATTTTGGAGACGAGGGAAGCGAGACACGGGAATCGCGAATTATCGATCCTCCGCTCTCGGCTTCCCTGTGTATCGCCGTTCTCGTTTTTCGACCCCTATAAAACGATCGTTCCGCTGTCGGGTACCGTCTTTGACCCCTATGCTCGCGACTAGAATGTTTGGGCTTGTTTGGATTTGATTGTTAGTTGCGTTGTTACGTTCAGCGTTAAATGGTGGACTGCAATAGGAATTGTGGAGTGATAGAGTGTTTATTTTATGTTGGTGTCTTTTGTTTAGAAATGTGGATGAGAGTATTGCGAGATGACGTAGATTGGCTGGTTTGGTTGAGGTTTGACCCTTTGAATTCTGTAGGCTTTAATATTGCACCGGGAATAATATTAGGTATTTGAATGAACTAAAGAAAGTATCCTAATATTGTTAGACTTTCTATTATCAATTATTAGATTTTTATTAACCCTTTGAACTCTGTGGGCTCCAATATTGCACCAGGAATAATATTGAATATTTTAATGAACTAAAGAAACTACCCTAATATTATTAGATTTTCCACACATCCAAATTTTGCACTAAGGAAAATAAAAGATCTAAGAAATGTTATAGCATTCTTCATTTTCGCTAGGGGTACTATAAAAATTAGTTGCAGTTGCTGATAGATTACAAAACCATCTGGAGTGTTAAGGGTTAACACAAGAACTACCGATTTAATACGATTAATATACGATTCCCATAAAAATTGTAATAGATTATTTTTAGTTTCTTCACATATTCGTTATAGTGCTGAAATGAAACTATTTATTTTCAAAATCATTTCGAAGATGTCAATAATTGCTAAACAAACAAATCGAAACCAGTCATTTTGACTGGAACGGTAGTTCTAGTGTTAATGTTTATTGTGATTTTGGTATTAATTATTGTATAGTGTTGACTGTAGGGTTTGCAGGAGTGCTTTTATTTTTGAAGATTTTGAGGATTTATTGAGAAGTAAGGAGATTCAACGTGATTTAAAAATGTTTGCGTTTGTCTGTTTATTAACTTCAGTATTATGGTATAATATTATACTATTAATTTACAATTATACAATATATGTAATATATACTATTAACAACAATATTATTATATAAGTGCTTTCACTTTTAAAGCAGCAATCGACACAAAACCGACTAAAAAAAGATCCAAGGCAATTTTGTCAATGGTTCCCAAGAAATAACAAATTTTATAGAAGGAAGTCGAGAAATATGTACCTACATACACAAGTATCCACTCCGTAACGCAAGGGACAGCCGTAAATAAGATCGGAAGTCTCGCGACCCAAAAAACTTACCGGCACTCGTGGTCCTCGACGACCAGCCCTCTCATCCCCATTTCATTTTCTATAACAACGCGATACAGCGCGACGACGAAACTCATTATCGCCGTTGGCACCTCTCTGGGATCGGTGATTTATGAGGGAACTTAATATCGCGAGGTTGCCTCGCTCGGAATCAAAGGGTGGCCGCGAATAAATTTTCTGACCTTCCAATATAATATTACGTTTAATATTTATTGTACGGTTCATCCCATTGTTCCTAGAACATCGATGAACGATCGTATAGATTATCTTTACTCGACTCCCGAATTCAAATTAACACGTTCATTGCCACGAGAATTTCGAGCGTTCTGTTTTAGGAAGATTTATTCCTTTGTTAGAGGAAATTAGTATTAGAAGTAATTAATGTTTTGGTATTACAGTGCTCATGTTATACTGTTATATAACCTCTGATACTAAATATTTCAATGCAATATCAATTTTCTTATTATAATTGTTTTCAAGCAATGTGGAATACTATTAAATATTATTTATTAAATACTATTCTTCTGTTATCGATTATTATAGTTTAAAGCAGATGTAGAATATATCTAGTATTTTCTTGTTTCTCTCACTAAATCATTAACAACAAAGTAATTGTACCGATCATAGTGGAAAACTGGATCCTAGGGCAAAAGGTTAATGAGTTCCTCAGTTTTCATCTTCCCTTTTGTTTGTTTCCACTTGCTTACCTGTACTTTGTAGCTAATTATCTACAGTGCAGACACAGACACAGAATATACCTAGTATTTCCCTGTTTCTCTCAATAAATTACCAACAAAGCAATCGTACCGATCATAGTGGAAAACTGGACCCTAGGGCAAAAGGTTAATTAGTTCCTCAATTTTTATCCTCCCTTTTATTTATTTCCCCAACAAATTGACCATCCACTTGTTTACCTATAGAATATACCTAGTATTTCCCTATTTCTCTCACTAAATTACACACTAATCATATCGATCACAAAGAAACCTA